TGGCTCTGCTCTGGCTCCTTCTCTGACCATCCCAGGGCTGGGATGCCTGTTGCAGTGCATGGAAGACTGCTTGGCATCAGTCTCCAAAAGTATTTTTATACAAAATTATTTTAATATTAAAATCTGCGTGTCTTGGAATGAAACGTTTGCCTGTGGCGTGTCTGGGCTGTCAGGCATATGGATGGGGAGATGCTGGTGCAGTGCTGCAGAGCAGGGCGGCCCAGCTGAGCAGTGTTCACATGGCAGCACATTCGTGTCTGTGCCAGAGCTACTGAGATAAGAGGCAACTGCAAAGAAGAGTGCGTGCCAGGCTCTGTAGCTGTGGCTAGGATGCTCTGCCAGGGGATTAAGGGATATGAAAGACTCGCAGATACCTTTATGTGCTAATTTGGGGCACAAAATGTTGTGATGGCCTGAAAATGGTCTCCTCGTATAATGCTGGGCAATGCCAGGGTCTAACTCTGCTGCAGCTCAGTGGCTGTTGATTAGTCACAGGATCTCTCCTTCCCCAGCCTGATCTCTCTGCTAATTCCCCCACCCTGCTCTAAGCTGCTCTTGAAAGGCCTGGGATGGCCCAGTCTGGATCCCATTGATTTTAGTGACAGAAAGTGTGATCCCTGCTGTGTGGTCTGAGGTCAGGGGTTTGGCTGTGACTGTGTGGCCAGCCTTGAGCAGAAACCTATGCAGTGGTTGTCCTTTTGGTGCTGGTAATGGTTTTGAGAGATTTTATGTCCCTTCTGTGCAGGGCTAGACCAGGGACCCTAGCATTGGTTGTCCCCATGTCTAAATGGGGGCTACTGATGACTTCTGCAGGTTTGCCAGCTGTTGATATACACAGCAGCAAAACAGCCAGCTGACAAGAAGCACTATGATCTACCTGTGCAGAGAACTAAGCGTGACTTCTGCAGCCCCAGCTCAGACCCGGGGAGCCACAAACTGTTGGGGAAGTCTGGAGGATCAGGTTCAGGTCTGCAAACTGGTGAGATGCTGACAAGGCAGTGAGCTCTGGGCAGTTGTCTGTTGCCCAAGGTGCAGGAGGGAAGCCTCAGGCCTCTAACAATACAGCAGAGCTGTAGCCAGGACCAATCTGTAGCTGTTCTCCTGTGCTGGGTCCTCTTCTCCACTGGGGTTTTGCTGCAGGAGAGGAGAAAAAGTCTGAGGGACTTTGGGAATCTAAGGGAGGCTGAGGCAGTTCCTGCCTGGGATGAGGGGCATGAGCAGCAGGCATCTGCTGCTCGTGGTTGGCTGCTGGGTGGTCTCATGCTTGTGTTCCTGTCCATGGTGGGTTCATGTACGTATCGCACGAGCAGATCTGAGAAGAGCTCTGGGCATTGTTTAGCGGGGGGCCCAGGCCACCTGCCCGTAATCCTTGCTCATGACTCTAGTGTGATTCTTCAAGACTTAATGAAGAGCAGCCTCCCAGGAGCAGAGTCCCAGGGATGTCCCATGGGACTCGGTCACTGTATCTCAGTGCACCGTGTCTGCTCCCTTCTGTGAAGCTGAGTATGGCTCACATGCAAAGTGTGTGACCCAGCTTTCACTAGAGGGTGACTGTAAGGAAGGAAAATGCTCCAGCATCTGTGCCAAACCAGAGGTCCTTGCACTGCCCTGCACTCCTCTTGGCTGGGAGGAAAGGATATTTATTTTTCTTGCTTGAGCAATGACATTATTTCTTGTAATGGCTGACTCAGGACTAATATGTCAGTGCAGAAGACAGGAGGAACACTCCTGCCTGTGGCCTGCCTTATATGTGCACCCTGCCACATGACAGAGAAGTGTGCGCAGTGGGGAAGGCTTTTAGTCTCTGCTGATTAAGAGAGACAGTCCATTCTTTTCTGGCTCAGTGCTGTGGACCAAACTTGTCATCTTGCTCAGACTGCTGCTCTGTGCTTCACTTTAACTCCTTTCTGGCAGCAGTTCAGGGTGTAACAGACGCTTTGGGAAAGTATAAGAAATAAGGTAAATTCAGAGTGAGCCTTTGGCTGGTCACAGCTTTCCTGTTGCCAGAGCAAAAGTTTGCAATGAACCCTGACTTTGGGACCAGGAGATGATCTTTCTGGATTCTGCCTAGGTTAGGATTTCTTTTGTCCGCCTTCATAGAACCGTAGAATGGTTTGGGTTGGAAAGGACTTTTAAAGCTCATCTAGTCCAACCCCCTGCAGTGAGCAGGGACATCTTCAACTAGGTCAGCTTGCTCAGACCTCCTTCCAACCTGAACTCGAATGTTTCCAGGGATGGGGCTTCTACCACCTCTCTGGGCAACCTGGGCCAGGGTTTCACCACCCTCAGTGTAAAAAAATTCTTCCTTATATCGAGTCTAAATCTCCCCTTTTTTTAGTTTAAAGCCCTTACCTCTTGTCCTATTGCTAAAGGCCCCACTAAAAAGTTTGTCCCCATATTTGCTATAGGCCCCCTTTAGGTACTGGAAGGCTGCAATAAGGTCTCCCCAGAGTGTTCTCTTCTCCAGGCTGAACAGCCCCAACTCTCTCAGCCTGTCCTCATACAGGAGGTGCTCCAGCCCTCTGATCATCTTTGTTTTTTTCCCTTTCCTTTTCTTCACTTCCACCGCCTCCTTACAACTAATTTCCATGTGTTGAACAGGGAAGCATCTGGGTGCAGCTCAAACACAGCTGTGGCACATCACAGCAGTTGTGTGGCATGTCACAGTGGTTGCATGCCCTGGCTGAATTCAGTTTGCGTGCTTGGTTTTGGCAGCCAGTCCTGAGCAAGGCTTTGCTGAGGTGCTCGGGGATGCATGGCTTATGCTTGGCCACTTGCTCTGCCCATTTTCTTACAGTGCAGAAATGGTTCTGAACAAGCAGCTTTGTTTGCTTCTGCCCAGTCCAGGTGCTCTGAGCCAGACTGGAGGGTGCATGGGAAGCCCTTCGGATATCAGACTTCCTCATGCGAGGACAGCCTGTGTGCCCCGCTGTTCTCTGCTAAAAGCCCACAGTCCAGGTTAGCTGAGAAACATCAGAGTACCGATCTAGCAGCCGCAGCTGGGATGCAACAGAAGCAGGTTTTGGTCTCTTTAGGCCAAGTGGCCGTTTTTGCCAGGAGAAAATGACTGGGGAGCTGCTGAAAGCCAAACCAACCTCTTCCCCTTGGGGCTACCTTTTTCTGTTTCCTGTTCTGAACGATACATCCTCTTATAACTACTCCCTCCTCCCCTTTAGGGCCTAGCGTGGTGCAGGCATGAGACATGTTCTGCCAGGCTGTCCATTCTCACGCTGGCGTTAGGGAAAGCACCCAAGTTCCCTCTGGCTGCAAAGAGTTGATCAGAGCAACAGCACCGTTATTGCCCTGCTTCATGCTGTGGTGATCAGGTGCAGGGCTTTTCAACAAGGACCCTCCAGGCAGCCCCAATTTTGTGATTTGCTTCCCCTTATAGTCCCTTTTCCCTCTTCCAAGTTTCCCCTTTAGCAGCTTCCTTCTGTCAGCGATCAATCACGAGCCCCTGTTTGTTTACCCCTTCCCATCAGCAAGGTGTTTTGTTGACTTTGTACCCTGGTTTGTTATTTATGATATGGTTGCCAAAGTAATTTCCACTTGCATCATCAGTTCAGCCACGCTAATCCCCTGTCATCCCTGCTCCCCAATCTGCCCAATTTTGTCATTTTCCCATTGTAGTCTGGTTTGCATGCCCCAGGGTGAGCTGTTCCATGTGCATTACTACCCTTTGATACTGCTCCTTCCCCACTTCCTCATGCTGTGAGCTTGTTAGATGCAGGCAGGGTTTGGCCACCAGCTTGCCACACCCTAACAAACCCATATCCCTGTGCCTGCAGGAGTGTCTGCATGTCAAGGTACGTGTCCTTGGTATCTTACCCCAAGCAGCTGCCTGAGATGCAGCCAGCAGCCGTCCCCCTGGCAGCGTGTTGTTTGCATTGTGCCCTCGATCAACTGCAGCTGTTTCTCAGGAAGTACAGGTCAGTGCTGGGATTGTTGCCTGCAGTACACACAAACTCCAGGCAATAAGTGAACATTATGGTGGATAACTTTATTTTGAAACAGCTTGTCAGAACAAAGTAAATGGAACACAAGCTCCTGCTGGTGCTCAGCATCCAGGAAGCCAGTGAGACCACCCCACCTTGGCCTAGTTGAGCTACCCTCAGCTCCTGCCCTGCCAGAGGCAGCTGTCTTGTGTCTGCACTGAAAAACAGGCTAGCATCTGTGTAAGCACTGGGCAGAAACTCTCTGGAAAGCTCCAGCTCAGCTCCCCCCATCTTTTGAGCCCTGCTAAAAAGTTCTTGCTGTGTTGGCTTGCAGAACATCCCCATAGGCACAGAGGGGCCATAAGGAGGAGAGCATCCAATCAGCAGTTGGCTGGGAGAATGGTGCTGTGCTGCAGCTCCAGCTGTGGTGAGCTGTCACTGTGCAGGAGCCAGCCAGGGCATTACAGCTGGCTTGCCACTTGCTACAAACCCCTTCATGAGCTGGGGAGTTGGACAGTGAGACCAGTTATGGGAGCAAGCAAATAGGGTAGTGCTGCTCTCTGGAGGGCTTCAAAATTAAATTCAAAAGCCGTTTTATGCTGATTCAAACACCCTGCTTTTTTCCTGCTGACCCTGCTTATGCAGGATGAGGGCAGCTTGACGTTACTGCCCACTTTATCTGACTTCCTCACCGCTGTGCTTGCAGCTTTTCTGCACCTGCTGACGGCAATCTGTGGTTTGTGGCCTGCACCAGCCTTGTCTCAGAAGCCAAACTTTGAGGCACGCTGGTGATGTGTGCTGACAAGAATGGGAATTATAGGGTGTTGGGGTGTAGCTCAACTCTGGACAGAGGGCCCCAGAGTAGTAGGCTTCCTGCAGACTGACTTGGTGACTAACAGAACCATAAAACAACGAGGAGGAACAAACGATGGGAAGTGCCTGTCTGACCAAGGCCAAGTGTAATGTCTTGCCTGACCGCTTCCGGTGCAGCGCGTAAGGCCTGGCAACCGATCAAGAAGCCGAGCTGTGTCTGCACGTGAGCAGCCTCAAGCAGTGCCGTGGGGTTCACTGCAGGAACTCGTCATACTCCTTGGGGAGCAGGGAGCATTCACAGGAATCTCTCCTCGCCACTGCTGGTCTGAACACTTGGGCAGGAGAAGGAGCCATCAGAAGGGGTGCCACCGTGGCTTTGGCTCTGCTCTGATGCTGCAATATAGGGACAAAACATGAATGCACCTTCTGGAAGGAGGTGCTGGCTTGTCCAGCAGCGCACTGTCTAGCTATGTCTGTATGTGCCAGCTGTTCAGCATCCTTCTTCTAAAGCACATGAGCTTATGCTACACCCATCCCTCTGTGCTGCCAGCTGCAAGTGAATGTTGCCGCTGCCTTCCCTGTATTGCTAGGGAGCTGCCCTCAGCCCCTCTGCAGGAAGCAGACCAGAGGGCAGAACAGAGACTATCCAGGCTAGTCAAAGGCAAGAGACATACCTGCTTGGGTTGATGCCGCTCTGGTCGCTGGTCCCTGGGCTGGACCTGCTGCCTGTGCAGAGGTTTGTACAACATACTCTTCAGGTATTTGTAGAGGTTGCTTTTTAGGTGCAAGGGGTTATAAGCAACTTCCACTTCCAAGCTGTTCAGGGCACTCTGCTCAGACAGAAGAAAGAATCTAATGGCTATGAGATGGGACAGGTAGAGGCTGTAGGGTTTGCTTGGGTTTTTTGTTGTTTTTAGTATCGAAGGCTTTTTTTTTTGCAGGGATGAGTGTTACAGACACTCCATGCCACCCTGCAGTGATGGAAGAAGGGATCTTTGGCTGTGCTGCTACTGACAAGGACCACTCCTAGCTGTGTATAGAACAAGAGGCATCTGCAACCAGGTCTTAATGGATTTAAGCATTCCCTTCCAGCATGCAGTCCTATTCTCCCCCATGCCCAGAATCAGCCAACAAGCTGGAGCACCTTGTCTGGCACTGCTACCCTCAATTCTCTGCTTCATAAGGCCTCTTCCCCCTCCCCTGACAGATGTGCAACATTTCTCCAAAGGACAGGCATTTGCTGTCTGTGAAGAAAGCTGTAGGATATATTAGCTGCTGGGAAGTTTTGGAGTGCTCTATCATATTCCAGCAGTCGCTAGACATTTTCACAGCTGTTTTCTCCTCCAGTCATCTGCTAAGGCCTATAGTGAGGGCTCTGCCCTCCTGGCATCACCTGAAGCAGAGGCAGACAACTTGGTAGAAGAACGTATGGATGCACAACAGAAAATGCAGAAGCCTGTATCTATTGGAAGAAACAGGAGTGCTTTATGTGTTGATTTATCTTATGCCTAAAGAACCTCTATCTGCAGCCTGAGATCCATGTTCCTCAGCAATGAGGGAGATGGATCCATCTCCAGCCACAGCTGCATGTCCTGTGCATAAAGGCTGATCGTTACTCTGATCTCTGCTTGTACAACTGGGATCCTCTCCACAGATATTTGTGCAGGGCTGTCAATGACTTACCTCTATAGGGCCATACACGCTCTCAGGATGCTCAGCAAGGAGGGCTGGGAAGGTTGATGGCAGCAAGAGCTCTCTGATGGCGACTGCTTTGACAAGTAGAGTGGCAGAGTCGGAAGGGACAATTATGTAGTAGGAATGCACCACAATGTTCCAGTTTGGACTGATGTTCTGTGGCTCACGTTTGGCCAGAAGCATCCACTTCCTTTTCTAAATGGCAAAAGCCGAAATCAATGTGAAAAATGGGCAATAGGTGCTTCCTTCACTGTAGGGGCTGCTGGGTTCAGGAGCAGAGACACTCATACACATCAGATATTCTGCATTATGGTTCAGGTTAGTATGTTTGTTTGTTTGTTTTTTAATTGAATGTAAGACAATTCTTAAGAAAAACATCCAATTTTGCTTTACAATATTTCAGTAATGGAAAGTCCTCCATATCCCAAGCTTTAGTTAATTATTTTCACAAAAATCATAGAATCATAGAATGTTTTGGGTTGGAAGGGACCTTTAAAGGTCATCTAGTCCAACCCCCCTGCAGAAAGGGCCATCTTCACCTAGGTCAGTTTGCTCAGAGCCCTGTCCAACCTGACCCTGAATGTTTACAGGGATGGGGCTTCTACCACCTCTCTGGGCAACCTGGGCCAGGGTTTCACCACCCTCAGTGTAAAAAAATTCTTCCTTATATCTAGTCTAAATCTCCCCTTTTTTTGTAGTTTAAAGCCCTTACCCCTTGCTCTGTTGCTAAAGGCCCCACTAAAAAGTTTGTCCCCATATTTGCTATAGGCCCCCTTTAGGTACTGGAAGGCTGCAATAAGGTCTCCCCAGAGTGTTCTCTTCTCCGGGCTGAACAGCCTCAACTCACCTGTCCTCACAGCAGAGGTGCTCCAGCCCTTGGATCATTTTTGTGGCCTCCTCTGGACCTGCTCCAACAGGTCCAGGTCTTTCTTATGCTGAGGACCCCAGGGCATATCTAACTCCAACCCTGATTTTTGCCCCCAAGCACTGGATTGTCATAGGCTAGAGAGTCTTCTCTGAGGATTGATGTGCTGTAGTGTCTTTCAAGTGGATGCACTGGCTAGAAGAATTTACAAGCTCAACTCTGACCCAGTGAGATGAAGCTATCCCTTTTGGAATGTTTTCTGGTGCAGGTTAGACAGATCTTACTAGATGTGCACTAACTATTAATTTCTGTGGCAGACCCTCCCCATGAGATTGCAGTTTTCACACACTTACCAGAAGACTATGACATAGAGCATGGAAGCTGTGCTGGTTTGTCTCCAGTTCATCCCAGTCTAGCTGCCAGCAGCTTGTGGGCTTGATGATGAAGGGCAGTCCATACAGTACAGACTCACAAACCCCTTCAGACTTCAGAGCCCTGCAAATATACAGCTCATGTTAGTGAAGCACAGTCAACATGAAAACGGCAAGAAGACTCTCCCAGGAGATGACTAGCTCAAGTGGCTATGGCAGTATCAGCTGCAATACTGCTACAAGCACTCAGTGTCTGTACTGCTGTGGCCCTGCACTATGAAACCCTGCAGAAAAGTCCAATTGCAGTGAAAAGAGGCTTTCTTGCTGATTTCTAAATTCCCTTGTATCTGCATTGACAAGAGCATGCCAAGCAGCAAATTTAATCTTTGTGCATTTTGTATACAAACTAGATTGTTAATCTGGCCTCTTGGGCAGTAACTCACCCAGGCAATTACATCTCTTCCTAAGTGATTTTTTACTGGATCTTGGTTTTCCTGCATTTAAACTGACATGTGCTCTACTCCTGCACAGAGCCAACATTCCACCACAAACTTCACAGTGCTTGACATCGCCTGTCCATAGCACGCTTCTGCTTCATGACAGGACATTATTAAGTAGCTTCAGTGCTTTGGCTGTGGGCCACATGCACGGAGTGCTCTTCAGCTACTGACAGGATGAGAATCATTTTAAGAACAACTGAATAGTTCAGAAATTACACAAAATTTTTCCTATATATAAACCTCAGAAGGACACTAGAGAGCATCACTCCTCTTGTTATGCTTTGTGCTTACCAGCCATAGACTGCTGACAGTAAAGACAGTAAATTCTTCCGTGAAGTCACACAGCACCATGAGGCTTTGCTTGCTTTTTTACTACTAGTTAGCTCAGGCTCTGACATCCAGTTAATTACTGCAGCCTCATTAAGTAGCGAGAGAACAGCAGAATTATATATGGAGCAGTAGCTGCAATCTACAGAACGTCACAGAGGAGGGCAACAACTGTTGCATGAATAACATCTATGGCGTTACGCTCCTAGTTGAACTCATACAGAAAGAATGGCTGTGGTCACACCAGCCTTCCAGTTACCAAGCACAAAGCACATAACAACACTTACTTTACAACCCGGAGTTTATACAGCACTGTAGCTGGCCAGGCTGCCATCTGGCAGGGCGAATTCAGATCTGCTGCTCTCACAGTGCCATCAGCCGTCCCAGAAAGTAGAGCTGGGTCGAGCAATCTCTCCTGCAAATCGCACTTCAGGCACACTAGGAGAAGATTGGTTTAGATTGCTAGGAATGGCAGTGTTTAGCACATGACATGCTCAAAGCACTTACAAACACTAGGTTAATGTTTTCTAGCAACAGCAACTATTAAGGGAAGAACAACAACACTAAAGCCTGTGATACCAGGCACCAATCTAACCCTATTTTACACACAAGGGGAAATACCACATAATTGGCATGTTAATGAAACGATGATTGGTTGTTAACTGGGCAGGTGAGTTCCAGTTTTGGCCATGAGTGGCCAACTGTAGAGGGAGCAGAATCTCCTTTCCCAATGTTACAGAGCGTTCAGGGCCACACATTTCCTGACAGCTTTTCCATCAGTGTTTGTGGAGAAACCCACCACACTGATGACACTAACTCTGGTATAATATGATACATAGCTGCATACAATTTCTCTGGCCTTTTACAGATGAGTTGGGAAGTGAAACAACTGACTGCAGTGTAACTCGGTTTGTTTTGCTAGCTATAATAAGACAACACATCAAGTATGAAATTTAATGTTACGATGAAGGAAAATACACCTTTAACAAAATATCATAATTGCCTGTGCTGGTCTGGAGGCTGTTACGGTAGCTATTACATAATTAAAAAGTCAGACCAAGCTTTAAGATCTGCTTGCTGTGGTGCATATCCGCAAAAGCCACCAGAAACTCTGTATGAGCTTTGCTTCCAGACTGGAACTGGCCTGTAGATCACCAGAAGAAAACAAGTGTGCTCCTGCTGCGATGGCAATGGGAAGCTGCACATCAGTATCAGACTGGAGTGGCTTATAGTACCATACTGGAGAGGCATGGGAAGGGGATTGCAGGGACTGCAGGTGCAGATTCCCATGGCAGTGCAATGGTGACAATCCAGTTAACAACAGCTTATGGGAAACACCTCTGTCTGCAGGAACTGTTGGTGTTTTTAGTGCTCACCCAAGGATGGATTAGGGATTTGGACTTAGCCTGTTAAAGGAAAAAAAAAAATCACGTATTTCTCATAAATTTTCCCAGGCATTACTGTAACTGTTGGCAGCTCCAGCTAGAACATTATCTCTTTTAGGGCTAAATCAATAGATATAAATACAAGCCAAGTCCCTTTGTAAGACAGCCTTCATTTAAGTGCAGCTCTGGCACAGACTTTTAGTATCAAACAAAAGGAACACCATTTTTAGGGTTAAACAACTGAGCCAGAAGGTCCTTGGCTCTCAGTATGTAAGGCCCCTTTTACCTTGATCAAGTGGTGATAATTCACATACTCTTCAAGGAACATTTTTGCTACAGAATGGAAATTAATTTTAGCATGGCAGCCTTGGGACATGGCAGCAACCTAGAAGTATTCTAAGCAAACGGCCCCCCTGAGCCTGAGACAACAGAAACTCCAGACAACTTTCAAAGTCACTCAGAGACCTCACTTGGGACTCTAAATGTGAGGGAATGTGCTCATAGGACAGGCCTGGGTAATCTTTAAGGCTGTGGGATTTTGGAGCTCCCTGCAGAGTGGGAGAGAAAATTAATACTTAGGGTGGTCTTTGGTGCAGCCGCATGGCTGAAGCCTCCTGATGGAAGGAGGAGATGGAGGTGTTCTCTCTCTGTGCCATAGTCATGTAGCCATGTTTTAAACAGCATCTCCAAGCTGATGACATTGTCCTCTATGGTTTGCACATCAATGTCCATTCCCAGGATTGCAATGTCTGCAGGAAAAGAAGGTGAAAAAGCACAAATAGTTTCAGCTATAGAAAAGAACATTCTTTTGCATTTTCCACTACACTTTACCTCCTTAGTCCCTCAACTGCTTTCACATAAGAAGTCCTTCAGAAGCTATTATGCAAATCACAGCACAGCACCTTGATGCCAGCCCTCTCAAAGGACATTGCTACAAGCTGAGCTGCTCCACGGGCCACACCAACACCCTTCTCATCAATGGGGTGTATACACAGGTGACAAAGGGAATTACCTGTTTTGAGAGAGAGTGTTTTAAGACTGGTAAATGTTTTAGTCCTTTCCTCAGTAACTTTTTTTCCTATTTTTAAATTTTCTTATCTGTAATAGATATATATCACATATCTTAAGCTGGCACAATACATGGCAATTGTAAAAAGAAATTCACTGCATGCATTGCTGTCCATTCTTGGGAGGAATGGGTTGGGATGTCAACATGTACTGTGCGATGGGTCTTAAAACCCTTAAAACTCCCGGAGAGCTATTTATTGGTCAGCAATCTGCAAAGTGCATGTGGAAAAAGGTTCCCTGGGACTTGCAGAAGATGGATTATGTTCATAAAAAATGTATTAGTGCTTTATCTTCAGTGCATGTTTTTTGTTTTCCTAAAACAGGAAAAGATAGGACCAACATCTATATCACATAAAATATTAACCTTCATTAGCAAATGGTTTGGCAATGCTCAGATGCTTGAAGTGTTTGTAATGGGTTGGGGCAAGAAAGAGATAATAATTCTCATGTTATCAATTAGAGGCCAGTCCACTGCATCCTATCAGTTACTCCCACACACTATTCCCACCGCAAATGCTGTATGCATTGCTGTCTTTATGGGATTTATTATATCGTGATCTCTGCTCCAGTTGGCAGTCTGGCAAGCCCTAATGTTTTATCATTAAAAAAACATTGCAGATTTAGTCTCTGTCCCACAGACGAGCTGCTATGCAATTTTGAAGAAGCAATCCTTGTTGCTCATCACATGGTCTTTGTTTATCTAGAAATGCACTCTCCCAAGGAGGTTGCTCTTGTGAAGAAGACAGCAAGCATTTTTCATCCACAACAGGCTGCTGTTAGCACATTCAAAGACGACTGCTTCATAGAGACAAGGAAAAACTGCACAAACGTGCCCTAAGACCTATTTTTTTCCTCATGTTAATTAATTAGAATTTGTCTTACCCCCTCCAATTTCACTTCCAAAATTCCTTAGAGGGTTGGGGCAGAAGGAGGGAGAAAAGCTAAGAATTTAATTCCAATAGCTGTATCTCAATATAGGTTTGTTACTTACATTAGTGGTCTGCAGATCTACAGGATTTCTTTCAAGACAAAAGGAGATGATAGACCCTATAGCACAGATTTGCAAGTGAAAAGAGGCTCACTTTTTCTTTTCCCAGGGTAATGTAAACCCAGACCAGCTTCCTGATATCAAACAGTTTGATGGAGGAATGGAATGGAGGGGAGGGATTTAGGACTGTTGTTCCTGGAAATTTTGGCAACTTTTCATTCCAGTATGCTCTGAATACTAAGTCATAATTGTTAACCGTGTCTCAGAGCTTCCAAACATCCTTTTATCTAAACAAAGAGAAAAAATAATCAAACTTGGATTTATTCCAGTGATCTTGTAAACACAGAAGATCACAGAAGATCTAAACATGAACATGATTTATAAACACAGTTTATAAATTTATTTAAAATAATTTACTGTTTTTTTGTGGTATGGATTTTATATACAGGCATGTATGTCTGATAATCTCAGTTTTGTTATCAGCATCTTAAAACAACATTTATGTTGATTTGGTCTGCCACCAGATTCGTGGGATGCAGAGGCAGCAGGGACAGCAGTCATCGTCTGTAGCAAGATCCTGCAGATGGGGGGAAACCAGCATATTTAGCAGCCATTTCATCAGCTCTGAGAAAGAGCTGAAATACTTGAGCAGAAATTAAAGTTAGGTAAAACAAAATACAGAAGTGAAATTTGTGGTTCTAGCAGGATTGCGATGTACAGGCTCCTACCACTGAACCCCTTTGGTACTGGACTTTTGAGCACCACCTGCATGGTTTGTTTACAGTCTCCTCAGCACCTTTTGTTTTGAAACAAAAAGGCTCAAAAGAGGAGATAACAGGAATTTCTGTTTCTGAATTTCTCATTACTGTAGCTTAAATTCTCACAGCTGAAAACTGTCAGATTAAGGGAGGAGATTGTCAGAGATATGGCCGGGAAAATTAACATTCAGGGCCTGGGGTGTTCTCGCTCTTTCACTAAAGACGCACGTGGCCAGGTGTGTGAGGGATGGGGCAAAAGGGAATCTGCGATCCACCTGAACAGCCCCTACTCTGCCAATTGACCAGGAACTTGCCACTGTGACCAGAAAAGAACAGCTAGAGACAGATAAGACAACAGCATCCAATATTTCCTGTCACTCACTAAAAACAATATCACCATTGCTACTAACAGGTCTTAACGCTAACCTCACAAGGCATCGGGACTCAGGTTTTCAAGCTCATTATCAACTCATTGTGAGAACTTGCTTGGTACCAGGTGTGTCTTGTTGATGGGGAGTTTAATTGTCAGCAGTAAAGGCCTTTGAAATTGAGACCTGGATTGGAAAGCAGAGGTTGCAGGGCTACAAATAACTCATTGGTGTGCAGTTACTGGTTACTGAAGGACAACTGTAAGAGCTCAAGAAAAACTGCCCCAAGCAGAGAGAAAAGAAGCAGCAGCTAAGCAAGAACAATATCTGTGACAAAACCCAGCTAATTAACAGGGTAAGTACCTGACTTGGTCTGGGAAAGTAACTCTTCTCAGTATTGTGCAATATGTAGTCTGGGGGAAAGGACTAAGTGTTAAGAATTGTCTAGAAACCAAACTTGTAAAAGGATGAGATCTTGAGTTGGTGGGGGGGAGGAGGATGCAAGATCTTTGAAACTGTAAATGGCCTGCCTGCTTCTCCTTCCCTGTTTTGTCTGGCTGCCTGATTCTCTCTTCCCTGACTGCCTGCTTCAAGGATTCTGGTTGCCTCTGCCTGCATCAGACAGTCAATTATGCCAGGGTGATGCTCAGCAGGATGAGTGTATGTGTCTAAGAGTGTGTTACCCCCATAAACTCTATGCATTTTTCTCTTTAATCCCTTAATAAAGCTGTATTGCACATTAAATCAATTTTAGGTAATACCAAAAGATGCAGTAACGCATGAAGTCTATATGCTTATTTTGCCCAAATATGACAAAGCCCCTAGAGAAGTGGTGTGGTACAAACTTTCTGCTGTTCCTCCAAGGGCAGTAGTTCCTACTTACATGAGTGATACTAAAAGGAAAGTGGCACATACCAGACCAAAGCAAGAGCTAGTGGTTGTCCTGCTGTCCAAAGCCGTAACTTCCCTGAGTTCCCTGTGTTATACTCACCATTGCTGATGGGCTCTTCTGCTGGCATGCACTGTTCCATGTCCTCAGGCTCCAAAAAGTCTCTCTTCAGAATCTCAATGACTTGTATTCTTCGTAGACTCACAAGGTCTACATCTTTCAACTTATTTTCCAGCTGCTTTACCATCTCTTTGCTTGACTGGCTAGTCAAAATTGTGACCTGAAATACAAATCAGAGTGTGCAAGAGCTGCATCTACCCTAATTCTCCCTTGATAGGTGATGACGCCTGGTCTGTTTGAATAGCACAGGTCCTGCTACGGAGAGAGGAGAGAAATCTTGCTAAAACATCTCATCTATTCCAAAGCAGGTTTAAAAGCATTTTTTTAGAGCTTTGACTTATATTTAAGCCAATATGAAATGGTTCACTGTAGGACCACCAATAGGTTTTGTGCCTGGAAGAAAATGGAATAATCCACAACTGTCTTATATTCTATGCTTTGTACTTACAGTCAGTGAGTCTGTGTGTATAGGAGGGGCTCTGCCTGAGACTTTCTGAGGGACAGCGCTACTTCCCATTACTGCATCAATTGTAGTTAAAGTACACTAGCTTTGGCCTCCTCACTTGAAGGCTGAATAGGAATTTTTTTTTATATCGTCTATCCTAAAGATATTTCTTGAGAGCAACAGGAGGTGTGATCCTGCCTCCCAGTTTTAATGTAATACTAAGTAAGTGACTGCAAAGAATTCCTTCATCATTGACAATCAGCAACAGTTTCTAGAAGCAGGTATGTTTGACACCAGCTTCTACCCTGAAAGAGTAATTAGGTGAGAAAGTTTGGAGTTCTGACCTTGCCTGATATTTAGTAATGAATACATTAAGTATGTATGTACTTAACATTAAGTACTGAGTCTTCTTATCACATCTGCTCATTGCTTCAAAGGACTTATTTACTAATTCTAAATAAAGCATAAGGTATGTTTTAGGTAAGACTGGTAACAAATGTCCTGTAGGGAGCATTTGGGGAAACTTAACAGTAGACTTTCATAGATGAGTTATACAACAAAGACATTAAACAATGCCAACAGAAGTGACAGTTCAGGGGATAGGTTTTTGGTTTGTTGTGGGTTTTTTTGGGTGGGGGGGAGTGGAGTGCAGGGGAGAGGGAGTATGCCTTCTCCATCTAGATCTATCCTTAGTGTTTATCTATGGGATATTGTGAATGAAATAGTAATTATGATCTCCTTTATGAACTGACAAAGATAGATAACAGGAACTGTTCTTGAGTTTGGAGGAGCAGAACAATCTAAAGAGACTATTATTTTTTTTATACAGCTACAGATAGAGCATTTCCTACCCTAGTACACTTTAATTTCATGAAAACCCTTAGGTTATGTGACGGAAGCTCATCTGCACACCCACAGAGGAGAACAGAGACACAGTGACAGGCGGAAGAGCCCAAATAATGCCCTGTCCTGGCTACTGCCCTCAGCCCATCAAAGACCCACTTCCCCAAGCCTAACGGAGCAGAGGGGCACGGTGTCAGCCCAGGAAACAAGGTTAGGGGCTTAGAGGAGGGGACACGCTCTGGACCCATGAAGACAAGTCAAACCCTTGAGCACTTTTCTGACTGAGAGTGGGGTTGCTGCCTAGGGGTGTGGGACATATTATAAGATGCAGGAGAAGAGTAGTTTGGGATTGCACAAGGCTTATTATGGGATGTTTAGGGGAGGAACCACAAGTGGGCCCAGGGATGGAGCTAAGTGATTTGGGAAGGAACAAGTGTGGGAAAATAGAGGTGGGTAAGGGGATAAAAAGAGCCGGTTCCATGTAAACAGTTGGCTGGTCAGTACACTTGCCTGGCCAGGCCCTGCCCTGATCACCACAGTCTGTCCCATCTTCTTAAATTCCTTCCCAGCTCTGTCCTGGGTAAGGGATCTCCTCTGTGTGCATGTGTGCGGCCAGGGGGTCTCAGGGCAGCAGTGGGAGGCACACCGTGGGTTGGAGGCCTGTGTGTCTGGTGCAGGGGCTGGAGCAAGTGTGATGAGCATGGAACCGTTAGCAAGGATCAAAATGGACCAGGCATAGGTGAAAACGTGAAACAGCCTGGGAGCAAGGGATCTCTAGGGGTGAGACCACAGGAGGAGCTGGCTATCAGAGGGATGAGGGCAGTCCTGGCCAGCTCTACGTGTGCGTACACAGGATGGTCTGTATCAGCAACTGGAGTGGGGCTGCAGCCTTGAGGATTTGTATGTCCAGATGCCGGCATCTGGGGAGACTGGGATCCAGGAGCAGCTACTGGGCAGACTGACTGTCTGAGCCGAGCTGCTGGATATGTTGTACATATGGAGATATGGTTTTTGATATATATATATAATACACACACACACACACACACACATATATATATTCCTGCTAGTGGATCTCCATCCTGCTCAGCCAGCAGTGGGAGCAGGCTGAGGCCATTGGTGCAGTCTGTATTTGTCTGAGTGCTCTGAATGCCCATCTGTGATCTGTGTGATCCATCACATATGTTTATATGTGTTATATATATATATATATGTGCTCTGTGTTCATCTGCCTGCTGGGAATACATGCTCAGCCTCACAACTGGTTGGGCTGCCTGGAACTGTGTCAGCCTTGCAGATGTCAGATCAAGCCCAATTTCCCTAACAAAGTATACCTCTCCAACCAAAATTATCCCTAGTGTCTGAGTTAATGGGAATGAAAAAAATTGTTATGGGCTCCTTTTAGGAATGAATTAAAATGGCTAATGGGGAGTTCTCTTAAGCTGGAGGCAGCTGAACTGTCTAAAAGATATAATTATCTTTTGCAGAGCTATAGACAGAGTATTTGCTACCCTGATGCACCTTTATTTCATCAAAACTATGTGTTGATGAAATAGAGTTTTGATGTATTTCATCAAAATGAAAATGAAATTCATTTTGAATGAGTTTCAAAATGTAGCCTGTCACCTCCAATTTACCCTTTTCACAACCTGAGTCACACCAGCACATGCTGGTCAGAGACCAAGAGAAATACTTTACCACATACAAAAACTGAGGTACCTACTGTGACTTCATATTACCACAGTTTCTAGAAAGAATCCCTCGATGCCATTATACTTCCTAATCTGACAAAAAAAAAAAAAAAAGGCTAGTGGTGACTTGAAAAACGTTTTTTAATCCTGTTGAAGATTGGCCACATTTCCTGCCACGTAGCTGCTGCTGAGACTTAGCTTTGCTGATGCTGGTGGCTTTTTGTCCCTGAAGTTAGGATCTCAAAGAGTAAGCATTTTCAATACTTTTAACAAATACTTGGGTTTTATATTATTACAGGTTGTAGTAAAGTCTGCTTTCTATGCTTACTAGTCAGCTAGGAATATTCTTGCCTCTTTGTGGTTTGACTGTTAGGAAAATGCACATTTACCTAAACACTGCAGCTGATTTGCACAAGCAAATTGCCAGTGGTGCTCTTGTACTCGAAATACTGGCCATCATGGTCTCATGCTAAAGAAACTGTACTTCTACTGTAACCATAATACCTCCTTAGCTGCCTGTGTGTCTGCTAGCTCACACGTAGGCATACTTACAGTCGTGGGTTCCTAGGGTGTAGCTCCAGAGTAGTCTCTTCCACACAGATGGAAGCGTGTGGAAAGCTTTTTGGTTTAACTTGTGTTGCTTTAGAAGTGCAAAAGCAAAAAAGAGCACTTCTTTGAGAAGAGAGCCTCACAAACAAAAATGGTCACTTCCTCTGCTGGGACAGGCCAGTGCATCTCAGGGACAGGTCTGGCCCCTTGCTGGCTGCCTCTTCTCCTGCCCAGCAGTGCACACATCCTCTGCTAAGCACCTTCCCTCTGCTGCAGGATTTCACAGATAGTGATCTTACTTGTTCCAAATTGTTTACTGACTGTGATTATATGCCTGGATTTTGCTGTTCCAGCCAGCACCACGGGTTACTGTATCTCAGTAACAAGGCCACTGAGATGCCACTTTGGTAATTGGGCACTGATGCACCAAAATGACACACAAAGTATTACATTTTGATGAATAACAAACACTCCAGCAGAAAACATGACTTTTGAGTCCTTCCCCTCTTGGTAACTGCCTGTTCTTTCACATCTGTTGATACTACTTTAAAAAGAAATCCTTCTTCCTGTGAACCTTGCTCTGCTTTCTATATTTGCACATATGTTCTCATGTGTTGTTAGCAGCTTCCCTCCTATTTATGCAAGTATACACACCCAGCTGAGAATACAGCCACTAGCATGCACCAAAATCTATTTGATCCTATCCCAGGACTGCTGTACATACAGTTGTCCCTAGAAGTGTCCCCTTTTCTACAGGAATCTGTCCAGAGGGATTTGAGAACTTGATATATAAATGCAGAACTTCTGCACATTGGATGCCTGAGACTGCTAGATCACTGAATACTAAAATTTTCTGGCATGTTCACTGTACATAGGGTCATATCAGAGCCACTGCTCAAGCTGAACAGTGACAACACAACCATGCAATTGGCTCGGGAAGCACTGGACAGACCTGCTGTGTGCATGTTCATTCCCACTGAGAATCCTGGGAAACAGGCAATGCTGGGTTTACGGTTGGACTAGGTGATCATAATGGTCTTTTCCAGCCAAACTAGTCTATGATTCTATGACACCAGTATGTATGTGTACTGAAATCCCAAACATCAGGCTGTCCTACCCTACCAACTCATGTCACTAACCTGTCCAACAAGACTTAGTTAAAGTTCCTGTTCTTTCTCCAGGCAAATCATCAACAACCAGTCACAAAGCTTCACAAAGCCTGAGCAGAAAGGAAATGTTTGGATGTGCTGTGTCAAAACGCTTTACCCCCCCTTCCCAGGGCCTTCCTTCTTAGAAGGAAGTTAGAGAACTTCTGTGGCATGGGATACAGTATAACACATAGCCTAGAGCTGGAATGAACAGAAATACCTTTCATGATGCAGGAATACTTATTTAGCTGTAGGACTTGCTTTTAGGCTGTCTTACGAAATTTCCTAAGCTATGTGAGTGTAGGTGGAAGATGAGATACACATTTATAAAGCATGATTCATAAAGTGCAAGTGAGAGAGAGTGTGCTCTTAACGCGTTACCAGCTGTGCCTTATTCAGGGCCTTGTAAAGCACAAGGAGTGGGGACAAAGTACTAGTGCATCAGGATTACAGCAGGCACTGTCCTCCTCTAATTCAGGCATGGGCAAAGCAACTGAATTGCCCCATTCTTTCTGTGCCTACCAAAAAGGTGTTGGAGATTACCCTTTTTCCATCCACCCAACGTAGGGATGCGTGCCAAGAACAGGCGTGATGCTTCATGAGTTCAGAGGATGTCAGTTGTACAGAGGGTACAATGGTCTTTTTAGACTTCTCAGTTATTTCACGCAGCCATTGCCAACAATGTATTCTAAGGGACTCCTATTACCATTTGCAGAGTAGAAGCCCTGTGGAACTCCCAAGCTGCCACTGAGAAAAGAAAAATGCTAATTAAACAAACATTCTTGTTATTCCAAATACTGACCATATTTCCTTTTTACTCTGAAAACTGATTTGAAGAGGACTGTGCCAAGACAATAATCATTCTGTAGGCTTTTCCTGTCTTTTGCAACTATACCAACTACTCTCAGGACGAAATGCATTTCTTTTGTCTGTAGGAGTTCACTTCCAATGAACTGTGGACATGCTTTCAGGCACAATGAGGACCTTTGTACAAACATCCTATTACATCAGTGAAAGTTCCAAACACTCTAACCGCAGAATGTAACTGTAGGCTGAAAGGAAAATCATGTCCATAAGTACTGTGAATGTCTGGTTTTTGACACAGTTCTGTGGATGTTTTTTTCAGCTTTATTTTGCTTACCTTCAATCTTAAATGCCTGGAAATTAAATTCATTTTTCTGTACCATAAAGTAAGTCAGTCTTTATAAGCAACTCAAACCTGAATCTGTCTTTTTTTTTTTTTCCCATGAGCATTCAGAGATTGCCACATGGGTTTATTTGGAGGGCTTATTTTCTTAATTATTCTGTCCCTCCCATAGACCTTAGGTACCACACAGACTATCATCTTAATATGCTAACAAGTGGCAGGTCTGGTGGATAGCTCTCACTGCATTCCCAACATTTTCTCACCTCAACAGAACTGTTTGCTGAGCCTCCTGCTGCTGTGTGTCTGCTGTATTGTTTGAACTGTTGCAATCCATCCTGCACAGCCTGTACCACTCCATTTCCCCCCTGTGGGAAACAGCCTTCTCTTGGTAGTGAACGGAGCTCCGAAATGCAGGCTTGAACTCGTGCAAAGTTTTCTCTCACTTGCTGCAAAACAGTATTCAATTAATTTGAAAGACTAGAAATGTCAAACTGATAATATTAAATATTTTTCCATAATATGGAAGGAGGCTTTTGAATTTGGAGCACTGAGATAGGACTGGGGGCAGGAGACAAGTCATAAAGCAGTGAACAGTGAAACAAAACCAGCTGATTGTTATGCTAGTAACAGTACATGTGATGACTCCTCAAGTTTTCAGCTGTCTACTTATTGTCTGCTGCTAGCCAAAATGTAGCAGTTTGAAATGCCCCTCTCCTCTGGCCCTGCATAACACAGAGGCAGAACTTGAGACATAACTAGGAGCACTGAGGTAGTGTGATGTCCTCAAGCCATATTCACCCCTACCATATCCATACTCCTTTACTCATCAGGCTGTGAATCTCTGGAACCTGCCTTCAGGAGGGTTTGGAGTCAGACTGTGGCAACAGGTTCAAAAAGGTGTTCTACAAACTCATGGGTAACAGATCCAGAAGCAGATACCAAGAGGAATAACCTCAAATGTATCCTCTATCATTCTTATCCTCTATCTTAATACAGAAGAATGAGCTGCAGAAAGTGATTGGCCTGGGGCACTCCCCCAGAATAGTCTTTCCCTTTGAGAACGGGCTGACAGACTGTTGGTCTGACTCGGGAGGGAATTTCTTAAGCTCTTACACTGCTCTTTTAGGACATTCACCACAGTAATGATTATCAAAAAAGCAAATGCTGCTTCAAAGATGAGCTACCAGAGCAAGTTTTAGAAAGGAAAAATTATTCTATACCTGTCATTTGTAAAGATGTATTATTCCTTCAGGCAACAGCTACCACTGTACAATGTCTGTCTCAAGGACAGCTGGTTTGACTCATTATGGCAAGATGAATGTTATAAATGCACAGATTATTAACCTGTTGTGCTCCACTATGATGCTTTGTGTCAGTCTCGTGGACTGGAGGATATTGGGCCATGTTCTTACTGCCTGCTATGCACTCTCCCTGCAGTCCAGGGCTGCTGAATCCTTGTATCACATATGTTGCTCGGGACTTCCTTGAACTTGGTATCACTTCATAGTGGTCACCTCAATCTACAGAAGGCAGTCTGAACATGATCCAGACTGGCCAGGATCATGGCAGACCCCTCTCATACTTTCTCCACACAATATTAGTTGAGGCTACCTGGTATTTATTACCCAGCCATGACCTTTCCTTAGCACAGACGTGATAATGCTAGGGAGCACCCAGGATCCAAAGGTGTGTGGAGCATCTCACCTAGCATTCACACAGATGTCAGCTCCCCTGAGCTTCAACAACAACTCAAAAGTTGAGACATACCTAGCAGGTAAACTGGCAAAATCTGTCCATAGGAGAAATTATTAGTGAATTCTATCAAATCTGTTTGAAGCAATATAAGACACTGCTGACAGAGGTCACCTTCCTCACGGAAGAGGCAACAGATGAACATATGACTTGTTTGCTTCAGATGCCTGGAGCTCTGAATCACTGAACCACTCCATGGTTTACAGTGTGGTCTTTCAGTGCAACTAAGTTATGAACCAGGGGTCTTAGATGCGTGTTCACAAACAGCTCTGATAGTTCTGCAAATAAAGTGGGGAAGAAAGCTGGGACAGCTCATACCTGACCTCAGAATGGTGAAGAGAGCACACTTAAGGAAAGACACCACACTTTGTACTCTGCAGTGCAAGAAGTGTCTGGCCCATTATGTCATTTCTGCTGTGAGGTTAGTGGTCTTTGATAAATGCATCAAGCAGATGCAGCCAGGAGTCTCTTCAAAGTGCTACAGCGAAATTCCCTGCAGTTAAGATACCTGCCCTGCAATCCCAGGATGCAGCTGCAGCTCACACAGATGTAAACCAGCTGTCTCAGGTCAACTATTGCTCCTAAGAGGGGCAGAACAGGGCTCTGCACAGGCTGCAGGTCAGCCTGAAGTCCAGTTAAATACTTGTCCTGTGGAACTGGCACCAGCAGAGTTGCATTTTCTCTTGTATATGCACAGCTACTTTAAATGTTAACTTGGGCGAGTCTATGCAAGCTGCAGTTTTAACTCTGGAATGTGTTGGCACACAAGTTAAGCTTCTAAGCACATATTGTTTTGTCTATTTCTGACTGCACCCCTCCTCTAGGTGCTGACACCCAGCCCAGTGCCATAGGCCTTGACATATCTCATCACATGTGACCCTGTCCCTTCATTACGCAACTGCAAGGATTCATAACTTCACACTGTGTGTCCAGCAAAACATTTTAATCTCCAACACTACGTTGCTTCCAGAGAAAAGCTATCAAAATGCAAGATCAAAGCTGGCCACGAGCTGGGGTGGGCACTGTGCTCACTGCCCAGTCTGGCTTCTTCCACACGTTGTACTCTCACCCAGTTCACTTTCTTAATTTGCTAGTCCCTGTAGTTAACATTGTTCTCCCTTGTTTCTTTTTCAGCTCTTTTTGTCAGGGAGGCTCTAGGAGTTGTGAGGGATGGCTGCCCATCCCAAGGGAAAACCAGTAAGAACAGGGCCCATCAGCTGTAGGTGCTCTGCTCAGAGTCCTTACTCAGTCCTACATTAAATTTTTTTCACGCTTTAATGCTTGCTTCCCCTTCTTGTCACCATCTGTTGTCCTCCATTAAATAACCAAAGAAAGGTTATTTACTTTCTTCCTGGATTCCTGTTCTTTGGCATCCCCCAGCCTTTCCAGGGAAGCTCTTTGGACTTGTTAGGGTCAGGCCAATAGAGGGGACCAGTAGGAACAGAGACCATAAACAAGTGCCCAGGAAAGACTAAAAAAAGTTAACCATATATGACACCTCCCCAGGTACTCTCCCAATCTATATTTTCAGCTCTGGGGCTTTCCTGACTTCATATGATTTGTCTAATAAACAACCTTTAATATGGCTCTATCTTGGTACCTCACTGAGAAGTATCAAGTTGTTCTCTAGTTAGATCAGAAAGTCAACATGATAAACAGCATGTCCTGTTGAGACAAAGGGGCAAATTCAGGAGAACAGAAGAAGCAATGGAGCCCTGGTATTTCTGAAGAAGGCTGAAATGGAACATTCATTTATCAGGCAAAACTGCTCCTGATTCCAGAAGCTGTAGAGGACCAGGTATCATCAGTGAAATTAGGTCCACTGAAGAAGACAGTCATCTTGCTGAACTTTACTGTTCCTAACAGAAAAAGAACAGTTCTGAAGAACAGCCTTCCATGCAACAGCAGATGTCTGAAATAAAGAGATGGCTCCCTAGGTAGAACACCCGAGCAGAGCTGGGGAGGAGAGTGGGGGCTCATGCTGAAGTTGTGCCTATCAACCAGGTATGCACTACTGGCTCAAGGCTTTGAGTGTGAACTTTGCTGACTTGGACAAGTCCCAGGGAAACACAATATTATGTCAAAAAAAGTTGTGATTACCAGTCACGCAAACAGGAGGAGGGGGTATTTTTTAGCTCTCTGTACAGCATCGCTGAGTCCAGTATTGGAGTGTAGCATCGAAAAAACCAGAAGAGTGATACATGAAAGGGGCTAGAAGTTATTAAGGGCCTGTAAAAACACCTTGCATTTACATTTAGACTTTATTTTCTTTAATTTACCAGCTGGAAGATTAAGGAGGAACTCGATTATGTCCAGAGGAAGAAAGTATAAAATACAAGCAGGTTCAATCTAGCCAAAAGAGGAAATATACTAACAAATCCCTGGAAACTAAAGCAAATAAATGCAAATTACAAAGCAGATGTAAGTTTCACAATGACAATTATTAACCACTGGAAGAAATTATCAACAGAAGTACTTCATTCTCCCTCTTGTAATATCTTCAGATCAAAACTAGATGTCTTTCTGAGGGAAGTGCTTTAATGATATATGGGTACTTTAGTGAAATATAATAGCCTGTAATATGAAGGAAGCCAAACAATGATCTAAGGGTTCCTCTGTCTTTAAAAACTGTGATTATCAAAATGAGGAACTGTTGTTTAAATAAAAAAGGTAGTCTGTCATGAGCAGAAGATTCATATGATAGGACCAGGAGAGGGATTGTGTCAAAGTGCAGTTGTGCTCTGGTGAGCCATGGTTACCAATGAGATCTGAGGTTGCTGTCAGCCAGCATATTGGATCAGTGTCAGGACATGACTAGCAAATACAAAAGCAGGTGTATGGCCCCAGAAACTTACAAATTAATTTGGACATAATGCAAAATCACAGAAAACAGGCCTGGAACCAGTTGTGAAACAGATTACCTGTCCACCCTACAGTGACATGCCAGGATGTAAATTAATCGTAGGAACCAAGACAAGTGTCTGTTCTAAAGCCCCTAATTGGAGTGATTTCATAACATCTCCAGAAAATGTTTCTTTGGTATCCCCTTAGTTATCCTTGTCACATTACCTATAACCTATTCTACCAAATAAACACCACCATTAGCCGCAGGCTTCTTGCAGATAAAGTGGAAGGGTTTATACTGTGTGTTTACACTGCTTTGCATAAATGAGAGTGCTCAGTATGACTGTTTATAATAGTATTACTTCATAGATTCTTGTGAACTTTATGATGCTTTGTAATTCCAAACTTTGATTGTAGAGTCATTCCCCGTCTATATTTATTCTACTGCATATCCATAGATGAGTGAAATACTTGTTCTTACTGACTTAGATCTATATATTTAAAAGACATGTAGATGTGGCGCTTAGGGACATGGTTTAGTGGTGGACTTGTCAGTATTAGGTTGGACTCAATGGTCTTAAGGGTCTTTTCCAATCTAAATGATTCCATGATTCTATGATTTCAGGGTATTTCTCAAATTTAGGAAAAAAAAAAAAATAATCTGATCCCTTCCTCTTAAATGTCTGGAACCCAAATGACATTTGAGACATTATGGTGGTAATATTTGTGTAATCAGCAGGTATACAGACCATTTCACCATCCAAATTACTACAGCTGTAGAGCTGTGTTTGATAATTTTGATAGAGAAGCAGACATAGGAAGAAAGTAGCATATGAAAGGGAGAGGCACAGCAGGTGTTTTAGAAGGGAGCAGCACAAAACCTAATTTATGCCTGTGAACAACTTCACACTCCTCCTTTTAAACATCATTCGTTCATAAAGTTCACCTCTTCCATGAAGTCTATGAAACTATGCTCTTTGAAAATGATTAATTCTTAGATATAAATTTGTAGTAAATTGTAACTTTTTACACTGAACTGCAACCATGTATTGCAATCATGTTTGTTAGACCCTAAGAGACATAATTTCACACATACCGTAAAGGGAAGCAGACACTCCTGCTGGCTCTGCACCACGTAGAGGCTCAGCAGGGGAACACGGCAGGGGCCTGTCAAACTGCACACCAAGCACAGCGTGTTTTCCAGAGCTTCAGAGAGTACAGAACAAGTGTTGGTCCAGGAAGGTGATGTGACATCCACAATGAGAATCCGCGATGGCTGCTGGCAGCGTACTTTAGTAGCAGGAAATGTTCTCCGTGTTTCTGAGAGCAATTTTCTGGAATTCATGGCTTCTGAACATGGGTATTAGATGTTCAGTTATCCATCTGCATCTGAACAGGAAAAATTAACAAATAATAGCAATGAGTGAGACTCTGCCTTTCTCATTGACTTGAAAGCAACCTGAGACACAGCAGACAGTAATGAATTAGAGTCCTGCAGCTTTCTCCAAAGCAATCACTGTCTATACTCTAAGATAAACCCACACAAAGATAAGTGAAAATTCATATGGCCAGAAAGCAAAATGGTTCAACTAAACAAAATGCATGGCAGATACACTCTTACAGATGCAAAGAGAGCAATTAAAAATGTTAATAGCATAACCATGGCTAGCCCATGGATGAGCTGTGTGGTATGTCGCATGAACCCTCAGTACAGCTCAGGTGCACCAGTCTCCAGCACAGAAGTGGTCTCCAGCAGCTGGTGGAGAGTAAGAATTTGAACTCCCACTCCTATCTCTGCAGTGGTCAAATGATGATACCCAAACGTCCTGGGGTGCACACACTCCCCACTCCTTGATACCCAGTATAAGACAAGTAGCTGTCATATCCAAAAAAGGGCAGCATGATGCAGCAAGAAAATATTTCATATACATAAATTTTACTGTGTGGATGACGGAGAACCAACCTTTGTCCTTCAGAGTCTCTAACACCTGGGGTTAGCTTTCTGCACTGACAAAAGCCTCAATGAATGCAGCACTAAGGTTGCCCAGCAGTATCTCATATTGTTCAAGAACATGGGATTACTGCAAGCCTTAAAACATCTGTAATGTCAGAAACTCCATCAGAAAGTATTTTCAGCCTAACACCAGCTTTGATTCCCAGGGCTGGCAGGAGATGCTGGGATTGCTATGCACAGGGGTAGCTGTTCTTCATGTGTCACAGAGCTGTGCCACACAACACAGGGATTTGCTAGAACTGCTCAGTGGTGCTCTCAGTGTTGCAGACCAACAACATCTTGCACAAGGAAGGAAAGGAAAGACTAGGGCTGCTCAGTTCCCTGGTCCTGTGTGTGTGGAACAGAGGCGGTTCTTGTTGCGGTGCCCTGGGAGACCACGGATCCCTGAGGCACACGGAGTGTGTGGTTCAGACACGTTGCTCCTTCCCTCCCTTTTTGTATCTTTTATTTCAAATATCCACCCTTTCATCCAGCAGCACCACTGCATATCTCTGTGTGCATACGGCTCAGCTGGTGCTGTTTTGAGAGACTTCCCCACAGTCTTTAAGAAAATTGTACTGTTTCCATGAAATCACAAACAGGAGGGAGTGCACTGTTGGTCTTGTGTCTTTCGTGTGCCTCACATGTACAAAACGCAGGAAACCACTCAGCCCTGAGCCCAGAATGAACACCTTGTTGTTTAGCGGAAAGGTTTAGAGGCAAAGTATTTACATGCACTCATGCTCAGACTTTGAATATTAAGTTTGTTCCCCCTTTGTTGCCCTTCAATGCATACATCATAAACACATGAGCCAGCATTTTCCTGTTTAAAATTATTTTTCTTCCTTCATCGTGAACAAAGTTGCTGCCTAAAATCTTCTCTTCACTAAATCTAAACATATCTGCACAAAGCACTCGGTGCTGATTCTAAGGATATAGAAAATGCTCTAAAATGTGCCTTGCTCTTAGAAATAACAGTAGTGTGTAACCATAGAAGACTACTTGTGCCCAGAAAAGTGTCTGTATAATTGCACATACCTTCTCAGTAAGAACTAGAATTCTCTCTTCCTACAGCTGTGTAAATCCCAGCACGATAAGTAGAAGTTTGAAGTGTCCCTGGGTTTATATAGCTGGGCTCTGGTCAGAACCCAGGCCAGCACGCGTTCTTGTCGTTTGTGTGCTATGTTCAACTGAGACAAATAACTCTTTTATGTTCACCAAGGGACAAGGTACTATATTTCTTACAGCCTCCAGCACTTTAGAGTAAGAATTTCTGTAAGCCTGGAAAAGAGCAAGAAGTGCATTTCTATTTGATTGAAGTATCATCAGAAAAAACCTCTGCACTTGTAGGATGTTTGTCAGTGACAGCAAAACAGAATGATCACAGACTGAATTTCAAAACTGAGGCTAACAGTTCAGAACTGGTGAAAATGTTTTATATATATATGTAGGTATCTTGCTTTGACTAGTAACCTGATATAATTTTATTGGAAAATGAAAAACTGCTGGATACCACTTTAATTGGTGTCTCTTCTGGAGCTTTACAATTTACAGGAGAGTTTAGTAAATTACTTCACTGAATCTGGGAAAATGCCTGTATTTTTGTCATGAGGCTTCATACTACTGAACTCTGCAAGCCCCCAGTGCTTTCCCAAACAAGGAAACATAACCCATCCCACAGTCAGAAATCTGGAATAGTTGGGTCTTTGATTTGCATTGGTTTCAGGTAGAAAAATGAGCCTTGATTCTGAAAAAGACAGTTTTCCTAAATTTGAATGAATGCTCTCATTCTTGACACTGTACAGGACTATGTTTATTTTAAACTGCTTTAGTAAAATGGATCCCTCATCAGCTACACTCCTTACCAACTGAATGAATTTATTTTCTTCCTAATTGTAGTGTCTTAATTAATCTCTGCTTAGCAATATTCATATGATTTATGTACAGTTCTCTGTACAATACTTGACATACAGCGTAAACTCCCCACCTCTCTTACAGCCTATACCAGTCACACTTAGCTGTGATGAGATTGGATGGAAGAAGAATTCTGTGTAATAGTCTAACCGGTTGCTACAGTAAAATAACATCTTCATTTAAGCAGAAGGGAACTGCCAGAGACCCCAGCCTAAGGGATTGCACCATAATTCAGTGTGCATGAGTGAAAATGTTAGTTCTAGCAGCTGATATGACATTAACTTATCAGCTGTCAGAGCTAGTTGCTAACTGTGATGTACATTTTGTTCAGTGCAAGAAGATATAAATTTTTTCAGAAGCAGAAAGACAGGGACAGAAAGAAAACTTTGCCATATTGAGTGACTTGTTAGTGCTGATAACATTCTGCAGTTGCATATTATCATGGACTGGTTTGGGTTGGGAGGGACCTAAAGCTCATTCAGTTCCAACCCCCCTGACATCAGCAGGGACACCTTCCACTAGACCAGGTTGCTCAAAGCCTCATCCAACCTGGCCTTCAACACTTCCAGGGAGGAGCAGCCACAGCTTCTCTGGGCAACCTGTTCCACCGTCTCACCACCTCACCCTATGTGCTTAACGTGTTCCAGTTATATGAAACCATTAAATAATATCCAAGTCTAAAAAAGTGTAAATGAGAGGCAACACCAAAGCCACTGGTTAAAGAATACTAAGGATAGTCCCCACCTTCTTGAAGAACCAGAAAAACTTAGATCCAACCTCACTCTCAGTGGGAAAAAAAACAAAAACAAAACCAAAAATGTGGATAATGAGTTTTAAGTTAAAAATGCCTTACTCCATAGCTAAGCCCTACAGTCCTGCAGCTATGAAGACAACTACTTTGACAGTGGTCTGTTTACAGAGAAGTAGGGAGTAAAACAAAAAAAAACAACCCTTGAGATGCAATAATAATGAATACAAGCTATTGGCAAGAAAATTTGCTAATTGGCAAAATGGTGGACAAAAGGCACCAACAAACATTAACAGTCAACAGGTTTAAGGACAATATAAACTTATTCTGTAAATTATTAAAGAATAAAAGCTACTCCTTAAACACATCAAGAACAAAAGGCAAGCTCAAAATTGGATAAATCTTCTATGAGCTTATAAGGATATTATTTTCATTAGCAATGCAGAAAAAGCGCTCAGTAAGTATTTTGATCTGCATTTAGAAAAAAAGCACTGGTAACTAATTATTCTCTTTTATATTAGTGGTTAGAGAGGATATTAACCTGCAGCTGCTAGGACTGTGAGTTTCACATTTCAGAAAGGGGATCTTTGTGCCCAGGAGCTTTTTGAACCTTTCCTGTTAACCTCTAACTCATCTCGGGGCTGCGCAGTTCCACAGTAACCATCATGTTCCTGTTTAAACAAAGAACATGCAAAAAGATTCAGATAGCAATAGCCTGTTTGTCATAATGTACATTCCAGGCAAATTCATAGAAACAGTGATATAATGCAGTCAATAGCAAATTAAAAAAATGTTGTGTAATTATGCCAAATAAATCTCATTAATCAATAGATTTTAGTAGGATTACATACAGGCCTAGATGGTTGAGACAGGATTGTCAGCAGAGTATAATTTGCCTCTATGAAACACTCAACTTAAACACACCTGCTTTTAGTCACCATATCGCTATAAAAGGCAATGAATCCTCTCAATGAATAGATTAAGAGCCTGTTAATGGAGAAATTGCAAATATCTATAACTGAGGATTATTCGGTAAAATGTTCCCACTGCAGTTATACAGCAATCTATTTTTTACTTAATTAGGTGGAAACCAGATGATACACAAAGATTTACTTCATAAAATTTACGGAAGAAACAAATATTGGCATTGTAAAGAAGAATAATTTAGAAGGATTTAACACATTTGCTTATCAAACTGGGCTCATTTGCATACTATGCATTTTAATATTGCCAAATGCAGTTAACCAAAAGAGCAGCAGAGGAAGCAGAAGATAAGAGCTTATGTCACCTTCCAATCAGGAAGTCCTCAAGCTGCAACTAGTTGGAGGCAGGAAGAGCATCACTGCAGACTCACCCTCTGCTTATGCTCTTCCCAAAGCATCTGCTGTGGGACACAGATTCCTAGAGAAGATGGATCTTGGGTCTTACCCTGTGTAACTATTTTCATATATTTATCATTTGGAGTTTCAAACTAGCTGTTTTAAAAACATGTCATTTTCTGAATAAGTTTCAAGACCCTGGGAAATATGAATATTCTCATGTGGAAAACAGATCAAGCTGCATAAATAAGTGAGTTTACTAGAGAAAAAAAACAGCAAGCCATGGAGAAGCCTGAGCCATGAAGTGGCTATGCAGTGTGGATGGCCTCTCGTGTATACCTTTTTGTCTACCTAGCCTAGAAAGGAAGACATTTATTTAAAAAGATCAGTATGAACAGAAATAAAAAGAAACAAACAAAAA